TGTTAAACATCCACCAAATGCACAATCCCATATAAAAATCCCCAAATTACTATTACCACTAGATTTCAATTTTCCCCTTTCCTGAAATTATAAAATCTCCCAAATCACAAGGCTGTCATGATATTTGAATGGTTTTTAAAATCTACCAGTCGAGAAACGGCGTATAGATTTTTTAATAAGGCTGTTCACCAATGATTGCATTGAAGAAGGGTGTTCGTTGATTTTTAAAATCCTCCATGTTTGTTGCTTTTGGGTTCATCATCTTCACAGTGTGCTGGAGCTTGCGATGCGTTGTGGGTTGTTTGTGGAGTTGCCGATGGTGGTTGTGGTGGTGACGATGTGGTGGGGTAGTGGGGATCGCGACACCGACACGGTGAAACGTGAGGGTGGATTTTAGATTGGGGTGAGGTGGATAGTTTTGCTGTGGCTATTCTTCGACGGTGATGTCGACCATTGTTAGGCTTTTCTTCGACAGTGTGGATCCATGGTAGCTGGTGGCTTAGGGGCTGATGTTTGATGGTGCCTGGTGGTTGAGGGGCTGCTGGTTTCGTGGTGGGTCAATCGTGGCTGGCTTTTTCCCTTTTCTTTTAGTTAAATTATTTTAGTTGTTCTTTGTGGTTAAATAGCAAATTATTATTTTACCCTTTTAAATTGATCAAAGTTCAATTTTATTGGTCAGCTAACGATCAAATTGGACAGTTTCTATCCATTTGAACCTCTACTGCGAATTTATGAAAGGTTTGAAGTTGTGGATGACACAAAATGAATATTAGGATAAAGTCTACAAAAAATTCGAAAATTCAGGACCGTTGCTACAATTCTCCTTGAATATAATGACATTTTCGAGGAGCCCACACATGGATGATGATGTCATCAGGGACTACTTGCGTGCCACGTGTTGCACTTGGAATCTGAATAAAAATAAATTAAAATAAAAAATAGAAGTTGAAAATTTGTAATAAGGTGACAGCTTTGGCCTTTGATTTCGTTGCATGAGATGTCATGTATTTATTTGGAATCTAATGCTCCCAAAGATTCCAAGTACCAAAAAGGAAAAGTCTTTATTCTGACCTTCCTTCTCATTGATGATAATCACTAAGTTACCCCTACTATTGTTTTTGAATTTTACTTGCTTTATTAATTAATTACCTATTAATTTGATTCCTAGACTAGAGGGTTAATGCTAGATTTTCAATAATACATCATTTCACTTAAACCCAAACAATTGATGAAAATAGACTTGAGAAACTTTAATTGCCTAGTTCAAAATAACTAAAAAAAAATAATAAGTCCAGAAGCAAATAACTCAGTTTTCTAATTTCTACGTTTCACAATTGCCAACTATCCATTTTTTTATTGTAATTTTTGATATGATTTACCTTGAGTCAATTATACTCTCTTTTGCGATATATATTATTGTTTTGTTAATATCTTGTATTACTAGTCTTATCTAGAATATTTAAATCAAAGATTTATTTTATTAATCATAGTATGGCAAAATTTATTGTCTTTTCGAGATAGTAGTTCTACGTCCTAACAGAAACGGTACTTTCATGTTTACTTGATATGGTCAGTATCCTTGAAAGGATGTATTACTGGTAAGTATAACTTTACGTGAATTCCTTGATCTTATTATCGTACTATTAGATGTAAGAAAGGCTTTTACATCTCTTTTTTCTTTTCTTTTTTTGTACTAATTTTATATATCAATAAAGAAGCCAAGTTAAAATTCCAAACTTTCCATCGGAGTATATGTAGATTCAAAATTTTATTTTACAAGATCAACTAAAAGATAACAAAGTTACTATTATTTAAACAAAAGTGAGGTTGGGCAAATCGGCTTCTTTACGAGCCTAATTTATTTGTTTGGCCAAACATATTTAATATGAAAAATAATAATAAAAAGATTAGTTAAAATGACAATATTTAATTGTTAAAAGGTTTTAAGAATACTCAAAATATTTCATTTGATTCTTTTTTGTAATTAAATGATGTATTTTTTTTTTCATTGAACATGCCCATTATGGTCAATCTACATCACTTGCGGCTGTTTCACTTTCAGCCCAGAAGTTTAGTGTGTGTTTGATTTGCTATTTCGAGTTCATTCTCAATTTTTAGTTTTCTAAAAAACTCAAAACGTGTTTAGTATATTATTTTCAAAAATGTATTTTTGAAAATAGGGAAAATTTTATACCATAAAACTAAAAATGACTTTTTAACGTTTTGAATATTTTCAATGAAAATACTCAAAATAAGGAAAATGAACTTAAAAATTTTTTTTAATTAAAATAATTAATAAAATCACATAAAATCTACCCAAATACAATTTTAAAATTTATTTTTTTAATTACATATTTACATAAAATTGATGTCGTACTAAATAATCAAATTAATTGAAAAATTGAAAGGTCATAAAACTATTTTTAAAATTTTTAAACCAAACGCATATTCTAGTTTTTTATTTTGAGAAACAGTTTTTCAGAATAACAAACAAAACACGTTTTGTGTAATTTTAAAATAATCCCTCAAAATAGAAAATAGAAAATGAATTTAAAATTGAAAACAAAAATGCAAACCAAAGACTTGTATTCCCAACTTGGGCTAATTGTATATGCAGTCACTCAACTTTTACATCAATTGTAATTACATCACTAAACTTTAATTGACAGCAATCAAATTGCATAACTTCAATTTAATTGTTTTTAAATCATTCTATTTGGATTCTGTCAATCTCCGTCTAACATGCTTACTTAACAATTGAAACTAATGGCCGTGAACATGGCCATCCATGTGGATTTACTTACATGCCATAATAACTGTAAACGAAAATAATACTTAGAAAAATTGTAAGTAAGAAATGCTTATTAAAGAAAAACTTTACTTGTCAAGGTTAAGAAATGCTTATTAAAGAAAAACTTTACTTGTCAAGGTTTTAGACTTTTTTTTTTTTTTTTTTCAAATCAGTAGTCCATTAGTTTCAAAGCAATAGAGAGTTAGAATTAAAGGACGAAGAATTATCTCAATAATAATATAATTATTAAAATGATTATGTCATCATGGTGTTAACTACCAATAAAAGGTTCAATAATCTATTTGCAATTGGAGTGAAAGTTGGTTGGCCGCCATATAATTATGCCTCGCAATTTGCATAAACTAACATTAGGGTTAGGCCCTTGTTTGAGTCAATTTTTTATTTTATTTATTTATTTATATTTTTTTTGAGTTAGAATTAAAGGACGAAGAATTATCTCAATAATAATATAATTATTAAAATGATTATGTCATCATGGTGTTAACTACCAATAAAAGGTTCAATAATCTATTTGCAATTGGAGTGAAAGTTGGTTGGCCGCCATATAATTATGCCTCGCAATTTGCATAAACTAACATTAGGGTTAGGCCCTTGTTTGAGTCAATTTTTTATTTTATTTATTTATTTATATTTTTTTTTCGGGGGGAGGGTGAGGGGGAATGAATTTTTTGAATAGAAATTTTTTGAAGAATTTAGCTTTCATTTGGTCCTCATAAATTTCATTTCATTTTTCTTGTTCCTATATTAAACCTCATTATCTTTAATAAAATAATATTACACATAAACTGAAAACTTTTCATTCTTTTTCATCCACTTATTTTTCGGAAAAAACACTATTCTTACCATTTTCATTACAAAAAATGGAGGCCAAACGGGGGCTTATTGTTAAAAAGTAAGAATATATATATTTTTATTTACATGTAAAGTTATTTTATTAAAAAATATGTGAATAATAATGATTTTTTTAAACAACGATGTGTATAATAGCCCCTGTTTGAGCCTCATTACATTAAATTTCATTACATTTCATTTTTCTCTCTCCTATTTTCAACCACACAATCTTCCATAAAATAATATTATACGTAAATCGAAATCTTTTCATTCTTTTTCAACCACTCATTTTTAAAAAAAAAATACTATTCCACACATTAATTTCTCCACGTAATGGGGGTCAAATAGGGGCATAGTCTTTTCAAAGCATCTTAAACGGAGTTTGCCTTGGAAACTGAGGGAAATATTATTGTTACCATCTTAGGATCTCAAAGTAAATTAAAAAGTAAACCTTCTCTCTCTGGCTTATTTATAGTTAAACAAACCCTCATAAAGTCATAACTCTCGTCTATTGATATATGCGTTGAGCACTTGATGATATTATATTTTTCAAGAATTAGATTCAATTGGTTCATCAGAAACTACTCTTAATATTTCAAAATTTAGAGTTTGACGTTAGGATCAAATCGATCTCCCTAAGAATTGTGAAAATGATGATTTAGGATAAAAATACCTATTTGAAATAAAAGGTTTGGGTCAATAAATAAATAAATAAATAAAAAAGGAAAAAAGAGAGAGACTAATTTATAATATAAAATAAAACTGCCCCATACAATATTACCTTGGGGTTGGGCAAAAAAACCAACGAAACTGATCAAACCAAACTGACTCGAGTTCATTTGGGTTGGTTTGAACAAAAAATTTGGTTTGGTTCGATTAATTTTAATCATTAAAAAATCGAGTTGGATTGGTTTCGATTTAAGTAACCAACCCAATCTGCAAATATATTTTTTTTTGTATTTTAAAATCCATCTTTTTAAATATAAATAATAAAATAATAAAAACACAAATATGATTTTATCTTAATAATTTGTTTACTGTCTATATTTTTTCTACAAAAACTCTAAATATCAAAAGAAAAGAAAGTAAGAAGAAAAAGTGTTTAATGTAAATTTCGAATTTAGATTGTAGTTTTGCTTTCATTTTGGTGTAATTATTTGTTGATAAGTGATAACCATCGAATTTATATATACTTTGATTTTTAAAAAAATTAATTTTTTACAATTTACATTATATATATTATTGATATGAATTACGTAAATATATATACATATATATATAATTTTAACCCTATACAATTTTTTTTTCTTTTACTCGAACTAGTTTCAAACCGATTAAACCAAACCAAACAGATTCTAATCTATTTGATTTGATTTGATTCCGTTTGATTTCAACGATTGAATTAGATCCATTTGAATTGAAATTTATCCAAATCGATTTTTAGTTGCACTAAAAACCAGCCCATGCCCATCCGACCACATCCCTCTCCGTCTCATCGGTTTCCATTTATAGAAAATTTCCCTCAAAAAAGTATCTTTTTATCGTCCCCTTTGGTCCTTGGATTCCGTACGTGTTTGATCAGTTCTCCTGTCCTTTCGACGGGAATAAACATATATAGAAAGTACACAGTAAAGTTTACCTTCCGCTGGAAATTTTACTTATCCCTTTATGCTGATATACGGGTTTTTCTTTTCTATTATTTTCATTTAATACAAGTACAAGCTTTATGTTAATTGGTTATGATGAGATGAATCTGAGCTGGGTTTTGGTTTTTGGTTCTTCTGGTGATTTGATTCGCTGTCTAGTTAGTTAATTCTCGGATTTTTGTGGGGCGATGCGTTTTTTGGTTGATTAGCTTTTTTGGCTTATTCTCTGCAATTATTCTCTGCTGCTTACGGCCGCGAAATTTTCTGAATCTCTGAGGTCAGTTCTCAAAGTTCTTGTCTTTATTTCTACTGTATAATTGACGCTAATACATATACATATACCTGTTTATCTTTTTATCTGAGGGTGTGAAAGAAGGAATGAGTAACTTCATATTATGGGTATTGCTGGGTTTTGTTTAAAAGAATTGGGAGAAAGGGGTAGTTTATGTGAACAATTGAAAATGATTATGGGATTATGGTAGCTGGTGCTCAATACAATATGGTAGGAATTTCCGGCAGTAGATGATTTGTTTTCGGGTCTTTAAATAAGATGGATTACCCTTTTTCGAGTAAAGAGAAGGATGCTGAATATTGGTCTTCACCAAGGGGTCAGATGGAGGGTATGGATATGACATATACGGAGAATGGCACACAGAGCTCGACTTTGGATGGTTCATTTAGTAATATTGCGGAGCTCATGAATGTTGATTCGAACGGTGGATGGTGCTACAGCCCCAATAGTGTGTCAGATCACTTGTTTCCCTCTTTTGCCATGTCGCCTCATAGTTCGATGTTTACAAATTTTTTGCCCTTTGATGGATTGAACTTCGCAGAGCAGTATAGTCCCGGTGTTCCCATGGAAGATGGTGACATTGTGGGAAGTTTGTCTAGCATGGGAGATAGAATGATTTTTAGGCAGATGAATAACCAATTACATATCCCAGGGGATTCTGTTAATGACGGGGTTGATGTGATCCAGAGGAGAAGCAATAGCTCGGGCCAGCAGAATGCGGTTGCTGAAATAGTGCACAGTACAATCCCTAGACTTCCTTCACAATCCTTGGCTGAGAAAATGCTCAAAGCATTGTATCTATTCAAAGAATTGTCTGGAGGGGGTATTTTGGCACAAGTTTGGGTTCCAATAAAGAATGGGGATGTGTACACCTTAAGCACCTGTGAGCAACCTTATTTACTTGACCAGACACTTTCTGGATATCGTGAAGTGTCTAGATTGTTTACTTTTGCAGCAGAATCGGGACCAGGTTCTTTCCCAGGGCTTCCTGGTCGTGTCTTTACCTCGAAGATGCCAGAGTGGACATCCAATGTTGTCTACTACAATAAAGAAGAGTACTTGAGAGTAAAATATGCGGTTGATCATGAAGTCCGTGGATCTGTTGCCTTACCTGTCTTTGAGGATGATTCACTTGAAAATTCTTGTTGTGCAGTGCTAGAATTTGTCACTGTGGAGGAGAAACCCAATTTTGATTCAGAGATGGAAAATGTTTGTCGTGCCCTCCAGGTCAGTTTGTCAGTTTCTGGTACTCTTTTCCAGCATCCTTTTTACTGTTTCTTGCTTAAAATAATATGTCTCCCCTTGATCAGATAGTTCTACCAGTTGACAAGGAACCTGAACCTTTAATAATGTCATGTTCCATGACGTTAAAGATAGTCAAGCGCTAGATAGCAAAACCATTGTAATAGTATTATTATTTAAAGATTTTTTGGAGGTGCAGGAGTTCTTATCAGCTTGCAGCTGAGATCTTGTTCTTTCTCATCACAAACTCCCTCCCCCACCTTGATTTCTAGCATTGAAAGGGTTTACATATATAAGTGTTGCCTACGTGTATTTCTTTTCATTCCCTATTAAAAATTATATTTTGCAGATCAGTATGACTTACTACTGACACTTTAACAAACATATGCAGGCGGTGAATTTAAGGAGCACTGTACCCCGACTTCAATCCCAGGTATCTCTAATATCAAAATGGGAAAAAATAGACAGTTGAATAGTCATATGTATGTTCTTATGTTTGCTTCCATCTGAAATTCTCTTTTTGTTAATATGCAGTCTCTCTCAAAGAATCAAAGGGCAGCTTTAGCTGAGATAACTGATGTTTTACGAGCTGTTTGCCATGCACACAGACTGCCTCTCGCTCTAACATGGATTCCCTGTAGTTATAGAGAGGGGACAGATGATGACGCGATAAGAGTACAAGTTAGAGGATGCAATTCAAGTTCTCACGAAAAATGTATACTATGCATTGCGAGTACAGCCTGTTATGTGAATGACAGTGCTATGCAGGGATTTTTGCATGCATGTAGGGAACATTATCTTCAGGAGGGACAAGGTATTGCTGGGAAAGCTCTTCAATCCAATCACCCCTTTTTTTACCGTGATGTAAAGGAATACCACATTAGTGAGTATCCACTTGTTCATCATGCCCGGAAATTCGGCCTAAATGCTGCTGTTGCTATTAGGTTAAGAAGTACGTATACTGGTGATGATGACTTTATACTAGAATTATTTCTCCCTGTCAACATGAAAGGGAGTACTGAACAGCAGCTCTTGCTAAATAATCTCTCCAATACAATGCAAAGGATCTCCAGGAGTTTGAGAACAGTGTCAGATGCAGAATTACTCGGGCTAGATTCTAAGGTTGGGCTACAGAATAATGAAGTCCAAAACTTGCCACCGAGTACATTATTCAGGAGGAGCTCTGAACAGTCACTGATAGATGGAAATTTAAACTCTGGTGATCAAGTACCCCTAAATGTATCAGATTCAAAGACTACTGGAATAGATGCCGATGGTCCTCCTGACCAGGTACTTTTGGATTTATGTTTGTTAAATTGCTATTATTGAATCTCACCTTTTTTCCGAACACCGCATTTTTGAGATCTGACTTCTGAGATCCTCTTTTTCCTGCATTATGACTGTCTGTTCTAGCATTTTTGCTTCAAAGAGTACCAATATTACCATGAATTATGTTGATAGGCAATTAGGCGTACAGCGAGTTTTCAGACATCAAATTTTATAGCACGTGATTTTACTGTGCTTGTAGGAACTGCTGTTGCTGCTTGTTTCTTTTTTGTCGTCTAATCATTGAACATGGTTTTTGAGTAGCGTTTCACTAAATTCTTATTTTTTCTAATTAGTGGATGTACTGTACGTCATTTTAAGCAGCATCAAATTATAGCCACGTTAACAACATTATAATGTCCTGGTAAGTTAACAGTAAACCATACGAGATATTGCCCCTAAATTCCAAGGACAGCAATAACCTGTAAGCCCAGAAAATTTCGAAAATATACTTTCTGAATATGAATATACAGCTCCCCTTAAATTGGTAACATAATCACACAAAGTCTAGGCCCCAAATACGCCCCCACTTCACCTTTTTTAAAAAAAAAAAAAACTGTATTCTTGGTTTCTGTTTTCGGTTTAAAACAACTGGAAAGTTACCAACTGCTTTCTGGTTTTTGAGAAATTTCTTCTTGTATAGATGAAGGATCTAGTTGCTTTAGATCTCCCATTGAATCTAGCTACAAACAGAAACAGAGTGGTGAAGAAGGATTCACATAGTTTGTTGTTTTTTTGTTGTCGTTGCTGAAGATGAGGGTTGTGGCCCACTAACGTTATCATCCCTCTAGTTAAGGGGTTCACTGAGCCAATTAACTATACATCGTCAGTCTTGAGGAGGTAAGTTATCCGTTATCCGGTCAGTTTGAATATACATTGGGAATTATTACTCTCTACCTGATTATTTCAAATAAGTGAGTGTTTATTGTCATTTCAATTTCTTACTTGCAAGATAAATGGATTTTGATAGAAAATAATAGATTCGCTGGGCTTGGAAGAAAATATGTTATGGGTTTTCCCTCGGCTATAACTTTTGGATGTACAGTGAAAAAAAATGGCATTAATTGGTCTTAGAGCTTATGCCTGTGCTTCCATTGAGGCCCAGGAAAATAAAAACAATTGATGACATGTAAATGCTTGTGGTTAAAAAATTCAGAACCTATGCAACTGACCTTTCTAAATGAACCCTAGAATGAAGTCAAGAAATGAACAAAGTTACATTCTTTGTGCTTTTATGAAGATATTCTTTTATGAAGAAAGCAATATTATTTTATAAGAGGAGTTATGTCTGCTTAAAATGATTCAAGCAATGGAACTTTCGGCTAATTGCCACAAGAACGACGAGTGAAAATGGCATACATGCTCTTGTGTTCAAGGAACTCAAGATGCAAACTTCTCTATTGGACGAATAGTATACATTTTCCTTTGATGTTTTCATTGATTTCTTATTCCCTATAAATATATTTTCTGAATCTCCTTGTTCAGTGTCTTCAATAGATAAGAGAACAGATCTCTTACAGCTTGTTAAAATTACGGCAGACAATAGCTGGATCAAGGAGACGGATGGAGAAGAAACGAAGCACAGCTGAGAAGCATGTCAGTTTAAGTGTTCTTCATCAATACTTTTCTGGTAGCCTGAAGGATGCAGCCAAAAGCATTGGTGGTAAGTCTTAGCATTAACTTGTTTCACAAAATGTTTATCATGAGAGTGCATGCACTTTAGAGAATTATCTTTGGTATCAATATCTATTCAAGGAACCAAACAAGGGGTCAGATACTAGTACTTTGGAGATAGTAGGCTTTTACTAACACCGATCATTATATGTGTGTGTGGTGTGTTATATGAGCAATTGGTAATTTTGGCTTCTAAAGGATTGGTAACTACACTGATTATTCTTATGAAAGGGCGTATGCCAGATTATATCATTCACTGAGAGAATTTCAAATACTATATACAGCGTAATCTGATGATTGTTTGCCTTCTTTTGGGCTGCTGTCTTAACTATTATTGCTGGATTATTATACTTGTGCAATAAAATGTTAATTCATTCCAGAATAGGAATATGATTGAACTGTTTATTCTGAAATCAGAAGGAAAATGGAAGTACATATTACATCGAACTGGTACTTTTTACTGAACACATTCATTATTAAATGGGAAAAGCTTGTGGCATCAATTATATATGATTTGGCCTACTCAGTATGAAGGGCTGTTTGAAGAACTCTTGAAGGGATAGCCTGAGTTTTTATTGTGTTTCTTGTTTCTGCAGTGTGTCCAACTACACTCAAACGGATATGTAGACAACATGGCATCTCGAGATGGCCATCCCGCAAGATAAACAAAGTGAATCGTTCTTTGAGGAAAATACAAAGCGTCCTCGACTCTGTTCAGGGAGTGGAAGGTGGACTGAAGTATGATCCAAACACTGGGGAGCTTGTGGCAGCAAGCTCTAACCAAGATTTTTACCCGCAAAAAAGTGCTCTCTTCCACAGTAGAAGTCAATCTGTCAGAAATCCTGATTCGATTATCCAGGGTGCAATCCCAGCTCCTCCATCTTGCACTGATGTTGAGAGTGCATCCGTGAAAATGGAAGAAGGGTGTTTTGTGGACAAATATAAAGTGCCAAGGTCAAATGTGTTCAGTCCAAACTCTTGCAGCACAGGAGAACGTAGAATAAATGTTCTTATGCCAGAAAGCTGTGATGTCTCCAAATTGGCTGCACTAGATACTGGGTCGTCCCAACCTGCTAGTCTGAACACCGTGCCTTGGATGTCTTTTGGGAAATTTCCACGAGATCCTTTCCTTACTGGAGAAGGATGCAATCAACGGGAGCTAAATAATAGCATGAAACAAGAGGCTTCTGAGTGTCACTTCTCTTCTCGAAGCTCAATCTCCATTGCCGCTGGTGATGATATGAACACTAAGTTTAAAGGTGATGTTGGGGTGGATGGTGATGCCGTTTTGGAAAATAACCAGCCCACTTCCTCCGGAATGACAGACTCATCCACTGGGCCTGGCTTAACAATGAAAGGGAGTTCATCAAGCTCGAGAAGTGGTGGTGAAAGGAAGCATTCTCAGACTGAGGCAAGCTGTGGAGAAAGTGGGGCAAAAATTACAGTCAAAGCTACTTATAAAGAAGATACAGTCCGATTCAAATTCAAGCCTTCTGCTGGATGTCTTCAACTATATGAAGAAATAGCAAAGAGGTTCAAACTAAATACAGGGCACTTCCAGATCAAGTATCTTGATGATGAAGAGGAATGGGTGTTGTTGGTAAATGATTCTGATTTGCAGGAGTGCCTCGAAATATTGGACTTCATGGACACTCACAGTGTAAAGTTTGTTGTTCGTGATATACCTTGTGCCATTGGGAGCTCAGGTGGAAGCAATTGTTTCATGGCAGGAGGCTCTTGATCTGCTATACACAGGTATAAATCTCTTTGCGGAACCTAAATCACCTGGTTTTCTTACTGATTCTAATAGAGGTTTTCTTCTACTGACTGAATGACTCATACACATCCAGCTTCGATGGCATTGATGATTTGTCACGGTTGATTCCAGCAAGAGTCCCGCATGAGAAACAAAGTAGACAAAATGGAGTAACATGGATTGGAGAAAGGGGCCATTTTTGAATATGCATATTGTCGGTTCTACACATAGAATAATTGTTGACGCTGTAGTTGTTGGAAGAAATAGGATGCTCTATGCACAGTAACCTAAACCGTGTGTACTGTAATTTTGTATAAGTTTAAAATACAAAAACATTTAGGATGTATATTGTTTATTTAATAAAAAAAATTGTCTGATATAAATTTATTTTCGTTTTAGATACATATTAACTCTAATTGAGTAACCCTTGAGAGGGTGTGTCGAAGAGTGACCCAAAATGAGCGATGGTGGCCATTTCTCGATATTGTGCCATGACTTAACGCGTAATCTGTGACTAAAGATACTCTTTGGTAGAACAAGAAGAAAAGTAATTGAGGTTTATTTTTGTAATTAATTCACTAACGAGCCGAAGACAAGTTTTTCCTCTTCTTGTTTTACTCGAGTCAACCTATTGTTCCATGTGTATTTTAGTTCAATGCAATTCAAAATCCCTATCACAGTTTAATTATCATGTCTAGAATTTCTGTGCAAACATTTTTTTATATTTGGATAAGTATTATGCATTAACAAAGAAAAATTTATACAGGCATTTTTGCAAAAAAATAAAATGTCTTATGATAGATCATTATATGAACTAATATACACTCGAAGAAAATATGAGATTTTAGTCTTATTAATCAATGTTATTCTCCTTCTACTGAAGGGAAAAAAATGGTGGCTTGTTACTCATACGTGGATGACTTTCTACGACCCCTTTTAGTCGTCACAGAAGGCCTTAATTCGCGTACTATTTAATGTGGGGGTTATTCTTATTCGTAAAATGGCAGTTTCGACGTATTTCCCCCTTGTTTCCTGTCAAAACTTTGAGAGATCCCATCCTGCTTATTGACAGAGAAAATCGCCTGCGGAATTGTTCGTTGCTGCCTGCATACTCGAGCGTCAACTGGTTCGTGTCGTAATTGAACAATAGCTGTTGATCAACTCCAAGTACAGATTGGTGTAAAAGTACATTGTTGTAATAGGCAGTGTTGAACCAATAATTGGGGCCATTTTTTGGTGTCAAGTAAACCGTTTGATTCTGCTCTTGGATCTTGTTCATTTTTTGTGGGCATTGCTCTCTCAGTTTATTTAGCAAGGATGTGTCCATGGTAGGGTCTGGTTTGCCTGTGTTGTTGAAATTGTACAGCCTATCCCTGATGTAGTTGCAATGAGTTATTCCCATTGTATGTGCTCCTGAAGAAGATAAACAAGTGCACATATTAAGGTATCAGAGGACAATGATTACATATTAAAATTATCTTTGGTGAGCTCCCTCACGTGCAAGTTGGTTCTTTTTTCTTATCAAAACCTAACACGTGCACAATTCATTTAATTAAGGACGGTGAGACTCGAACTCATGAGCACCTGCTCTGAAATCATGTTAAACTATTTGATTTAAAAAAGAATCGATTCGTCTATCAAATAAATCACCATATTGCTGGTGCATATATTGAATGGAGAAATAGAATACCTAGGAGGGTTGCAAAATCTTGCACATCTAAACCTTTGGATTGGAAATATGCCAATCCAGATTCCCAAGAAATTGAGGGTGATGGAAGATCCACCCATGCAGCTTTTGATTCAAACCCATCTCTTCTCCCCAATAACACTGGATATGATGGTGCACCTGCCTGTATAATCATTTAGTACATATTCAATTTCAGTCATTCGCCGTAATGTATGCGTACCGCTAAAAAAAAATTTCACTTTTGACAAAGAAAATTTGATTGTAAAAAGTCATTTTTATGTTGTTTTGTCAAAAAAGGATCGTCGTAAAAATTTTCGAAACCGAAATATTGAAAAAAATTTGTCGTTAAAAGTGAAATTTTTTGTAAGGTGTGTACATATACAGAAAAAGAGTTAAGCGGGTTAGTTCTTACAAGATGAAGAGCGTCCCGGGCGGCAAGGTTAAGAATGTCGGAGCAAGAGACGATGCCTGGGCATCGATCTTCGAGGACAGTTTTGATTTTGTCAATGATTATAAATGCTCCTAAACCTGCATTCTGAGGGGCTGTTTTCTCCGTATGTGGACCATCTAGCAGAATTGATGCATCACAACCCTGCATGTAGCATGTATTATAATACATCTCCAAATGTGGAGTTTGGACGATGTCGAAAGTGAAATTTCTTGTAGTGATCAATCTTAATGGTTGGAGTGCATTATCAAAACCCGATTAATGGACTTTTTTAGTACATGTGCAAAGGATTTCAAAGGGACAAGTTAGCCAAGAACCATCATGCTAACTATTCTGGATATTCCGTAATGTTCCGACTATTGACGGAACATGAGAAGCAGATGATCATATACATCCTCTTTCACTTAAACTCGTATTCAATTTAATTTATTAAGATTGGGAAGTGGTTTAAGCATAATTTAATATCATAACAAGTAAAAACATTAAAGTTTTAAGTGAAGAAAATGATGGCCTCGAGCATTGAAACATACCATACATAGAGGCTTAGATTTAGGATCAGTTTTGAACTTTATAATTTTCCAAATGTAACCCTAGTTGTACAAAATATGATATGTGGGATATGTGTTTTTTTGTATATTAAGGAGGTTTCAAGAATTAAGAATAATGAAGTAAGGAAATACTTGATTGGTAAAAAGAATTCTCATTTTCTTGTCCAATTTAGAACTATATTTGCATTTTTGGTTTGTATTCTCGACTAAACAAGACAACTTACAAATTTTATTACTTACCTCTCTTACTTGACTCCATCTTATCCTCTGTAATTTAATGCACCAAACACAATCTTAATGACAAATTTAGAAAACACATTGAGTGACTAAATTTATAAATCATTTATAAATTATTAAATTGACAGCTAAAACGGAGTTTAATTTATTGTAATATTTTCATCAATAATAAACTAGAAAGGAGTTGTGCCAAGCAAGTTGACATCTGTTGTTCTCCTTTCGTTTTCCCTATTTTGCTCACATTAGAGAGCATTGGTAAATGAACCATGCTACAATAACTGGGAGGAAGACAGTCTCCCTAACACAGGCCCCACAAATAGAGGGGAGGAATAGTTTTTTATTCAAGTGGGACTCATGACGTGTGAGAGACGATCATCCTTTCTGTCAACCATTTTGGGTTACTTTAGCATTTTCCTTAGAAAATAGCAAGTCGACAATAGAAGGATGGTGAAATGGAGACAACATATCTCAATCCGTACCAAACAGGTCAACATTTTTAAGTTTACATATTAAAAAAGAAAGCAGAATTGCAATTTGTCAAACGAAGAGATAAAAGCATTTAAGTGAGGAAATGAACCTACATTAACCATGCAATCTGCATATAGCAACTTGACCAGCTTAGCAGTGATGCTGTGATCCTTATTCCAATACACCTGCACTTGGTGCTTAACGAACGCCTCCGCATTTGCACATGTATTTAGCTTCTTGTAGTACTTCCGTGTCAGATATTTCGCGTCCGGCGGCAGCCCTATCGCCGCCTCGGTACGGCTCAGATGCAAGCTCAACACCCCCACGAACACGACAAGAGAGAAAAGCAAATACCCTTCTCTCTCCATTTCAGTTCAATGATGTATATGGATTGCAAACAGTATATATGAATTTATATGTATTATTGCACCCAAGTTTATATGTAACAACTGAATGAAATGAGCTACAATATATAGAGCCTCGGCACCATAAAATTCATCAACATTAGCAAGCTGGAAATTCATAAAATAATCGTAGATTTCTTGATTTTCATTCCATTTCTGTCAATAATTTATAATTTTTACTATGGAGTTAATTTCACTAATGGTCACTGAAGTTCAATAAAAAATTTAAATGAGTTATTAAAGTATTTTTACGATTCATTTAGTTACTAAAGTTAAATAAAGTTACATAATTGGTCACTCTGTTAGTTAGACTAGTGCCATATCTGATGTAGTACTCTGTTAAACCTTCATGTGAACTGGTGGCTGATAAAGCGACAGATTCCTTCTTGCTAGCCTCATGTACTAGCTTTGTCGTGTTTTTTAGCGTCCAATGAAAAATAAGGTTAGAGATAAAGGAAGCGATTTATGTTTTTTTGGCTTCACGCGAAGTATTTTTCTAAGAATTGAGTTTTATTTTAAAGGTATGTAATTTACACCACAATTGTTAGTTGGTGTCAAAGTTTAATAGGCCGACGATTGATCGGTGTGGATGCGGCTAAATGGGGACCAATTACTTAATATTATTTAACTTTAATGACCAATTTGAAATTTTTCTTGAAGTTCAGTGACCTTTATATATATAACCATTCTTGAAGGCGCTTAAGATGGATTTTACAGGTGATTTTCACGTAAATCGAGGACCTAATAAATACGCCATCGCAGTTCTATATAAATTATACTGTGTGTATATATTTTCATGCAAGGTTTCTTACACGACAAGGTATCGCGTAGATTTGAGGTCACTCCTAGAAACCTTCAAACTATCGAAGTATTTCATACGTTTCTTCATCCCATTGTCAAATCCTAGAACTCTTTGACCATTGGAAAACCAACCAATTAATCCTATTGTCAACCTTAGGTTGGTCGAAAATGAAACAAAGTGTAAGACGATACGATAGAGCTACATGTATAGAAGAATATTGCACAGAATTTGATCAGACAACACACAACATGGAGTGGGTGGATAATTTTTGGGCATTATTTTATCACCCACCCATCATGTGAGTTATGTGGTGGAATTCTGTACAATCCTTTCTGTACAAAGGGCTTAAACCTAGATGATATGACAATCACAATTGTTATTTTTTGATAAAAGTATGCTACGAGACGATGTACATACCAAAATTACTCTTGAGCAACAAGAACCAGCAAAATCTATCATGGAACCAGTAAATTTTGAAGCAAAACACGATAATTTTAATCTTGAATTTTAGAAATTTTTAGTTAGCTAGAGATAGAGGCAAATTACGCCAACGAGTAGGTTGACCCCTTCAGATTTTCCTCTTTTGCCTTAATCTTGTAATTTATTTTTATATTAATTAACATTAAATCACTTGTCAATTTTATTGCAGTATAAGAATTAAATCTATGATTTTGTACATCGTTTTTTGAAACTTAAAAATTAAGTTATTTATTAGTTAAAAAAGTCCATAATGATGTACAGTTCCTAATCCAAAATTTCAAATATTTAAAATATTTAGTTAAATTTTTTGAAGATTTTTAATTTTCAAACATGTTCGATATTTAAAATTTCGATGTATCCTAGATCAACCCCATTTTAGATTCAAGCTTCTGTGAGGTTGAGCACATTTGATCTCTGTCCTCATTCTATAAAATACATATATTGGCCTCTCGGGACATAACCCAGTAGTGTAAAAAACAAGAGTGAGATAGTTTCAACCTTGTTGGCAACCGCAGTGTGAGAGTTCAATTCTTGAGATATGAAATTGGATTCTTTGTGGATACCGGTGTACAGACAAGCTCTTGTTTTCTGGCTTGTTGTGACACATCTCGTGATTTACCTCCCTCACGATTCTTCAAGGACAGGACGGTGAGAGGCTTCAAAGTTGAGTTTCAACCTTTCATATATTGCATTTTCGCAGCCCCGGTATGGCAGTATCATAATTGTTTTACCGTACTTCTAGTTCTGTGATCAAATTATAAAAATAGTTTGTAATTTCCAATAACTTCGAGATTTGAGAAGCGCTGATAGCAGAGTAATTTATAATAGTTGGATACATAGAAAAAACCACTGTAATTAATGAATGATCGACAAATAACTACAAAAAAGGGACCTTCTACTTCAAATCAAGTTTGTGTCCAGTCATTTCTATCAAGGTATAAACAAATAGAGAGGTATTGTTTTCAGTTGATTATTCCTATTAAAATTTTGACACTTATCAATCTCAAGTCCCAATTGAATTGTATTAGGTATTTATCGAGTTATAATCAAAGTCAAAATAAATAAAAATTGGTAGTACAATTCTTGAAAGAGTTGAAAATGTCAAAGATATCCAATAAGATCAAATATGATCGAGGAAATACAATTAGTAATCTAAAAGGTATTAAAGAGTTGCACAAATTCTGCTCCAAATTCTCATTTGCAACTTGCAATACATTTTTCACACTGAAAACTTTGGAATTTGGACAAGCTGACTTCTAAAAGAATTGTAGGATATTGAGTTAGCTTTTCAACGCATTTTTAATTACTTTAATCGACGTTGGAAAAGAAAATTATAATAAAAATAATGACAGTTGCTCAACCCTCGCTCACCTGTCGTTGGCTTGGCGCTCGAGCGACGAGTCAACGTTCAGAAATCTGTTCTCCTTCAAACACTTGGTTTTTCAATTCTTTTTTCATCCCAAACACTATCCATTATAAATATATACCCTTATGGGACGTTCAAAAGTATGTTGAATCAGATTTATTTCATAGATATCAATTCTTTGATGATCCAAAACATTCATTGATTCCAAGATTCAACCGCCACATATTATTTGAGTCATAACTTTTTCCAAAACATATTTTGTTAATTAAGTCATATTGTTTCGTATTAAACAATACAATCAAAACACAAAAGGTCATTTGAACAAGCACCAAACCACGTAATCCGCCCAAAATAAATCGATACCAGGGATTAGGAGTTGTTGCAGAAGCACAAATTCAGAAGGACTAAGGTGACGTACCAAGAGTTGTGATCTATCATCAAGAGCACGCAGTCCAAGAGGGCTAAGATATAAACCAGAGTCGAAATTTATTTTGACAGAGCACACCTCTAGTAGGATTAAGGGAGATCGCGGGAATTGAGGTCAGGAGTTCTACAGAGTAGACGGGTTTGATCAATGCGGTAAGTTTGCTTCGAATTATAGTAGATTAACAAAGTGCTCGAAGTTTTTACCTAGTTGGAATTTCTCTTTGATCATATCAATGTCATTTACAACTTTCTATTTATAACTTGTGTATTCAAATTTAAGATGGATTGACTTGTTTGATTTAATCATCTAGAAAAAATTAAACAGTGACTTGTTTCTTTTAATCGTGTAAATTCCGGATCTAAATAAATAAATATTCAGCTAATTAGAACTTTCAGTTTTTCATTTGATTATTCCTATTAAAATTTTGACGCCTTTCAATCTCAAATAGTAAATAATAATACGTCATTTCAAAGACAAGGTCACAATGTGTGGTTCTTGCCATTTAGCCCCAGTTTGATTTTGCTTAAAATAAAAAATTTGAGTAGATTTTAAAAATTCAAAAAAATTGTAATTGAAATGCCTATAAAAGTTATGATGAGCCTCATGAAATATGTGGTTAAAAAATGAGTTTGTCAAAAAATAATTTAAAAATAGGAACCAAACATGGACTTAGTATTACAAGAAGCATTGACGGGCAATATACGAATTGAAAGGCTAATAAAAGTTATGATGAGCCTCATGAAATGTGTAGTTGAAAATGAATTTGCCAAAAAATAATTTAAAAGTAGGAACCAAACAGGGACTTAATATTACGAGAAGTATTGATGGGTAGTATATGAATGAACGTGAATCCAAAAAATTTATAGTAATGTGGAACAGTAGAAGTAACAATACTTGAAAACGAATTGAGCTCAACTCTTTTCCTCAGTTGTTTGGTTTATAAACTCTAATTACAAATTAAGTATGTATAGTCTAAGTTTAGTATAATTTACTATATAACGTTATTATGCAAGTTTTAAGAGTTTATTTCCTTAAACAAGCCAAAAGCTTCAGATCCACTTCAGCAACTTGCAGCATATTTATATAAATAAAATAAAAAATGGTTGAACTCCAGCCTTGAGGGCCCCAATCGTCCCGTCCCTGAAATATTGTGAGGGAGGTAAGGTAAATTGCGGGATGTGTCCCAACAGGTCAGAGAACAAGAGTTTGCCCGTATATTGGTGCCCACAAAGAGTCAAATTCCATATTTCAGGAATCAAACCCTCACATTGCGACTGCCAGCAAGGTTGAGACTACCTCACTCCTGTTCTTTGCACCACTGAAATATGCCTCCGAAGGCAATTTGGAGCATATTTATTCATACAAAATTGGGGATTGCTTATTGGAAATGCATAATTAATCGTCAAGTAATATACCCCAATTGAGCTTGTGTTTACACCTTAATAAAATAATATAACGAACGCCAACCAAGGAGCTAATACCTTAAAGTGCTCCGCTTCACTTTGAGAATTTTTGTATCTTAAGTACTACTCACCCCACCCAATCACATTCTTTTTCAACTTTATAAGCATTTTTAAACCTTCTCGTAAGCAATAGGTAGAGCCGACTCGATCTTATAAATGAAAAATAGTTCTCCCATCATATGAATTCAATTTTTTTTTTCAGTAGGTAGAGCCGACTCGATCTTATTGAATTCATTTCATCCAGAAAACGCCACAGGAGGTTTTCAATGTTCGTATCAATATTTCAGTCTTCAATATCGAACTTTTTATTATCATTAATTTATTATAGCTGAATGTAAATAATAAAAATGAAATTCATGTAATAGACTAATATATTTTTCTTCTAATTACTAAAAAAAAAGTTACTTTTCTTTATTCAATAAAACATAAACATTAATTGACCACGCATTTATAATCACACATTTCAAGAAATCCGTACTATTTGTCCTAAAAAGTAATTTTACGCAAACACACACTTAGAAACAAAAGAAATTGGATGATGAAAATAAAACTCCAATACGAAGAGAAATTTCCGATCACAAAATATATCTGTGGGCTGAGATTCCTACCAGACCATATCAATTCAGGCCCAATGTACAGCCCACTACAAACACTATATAAAATGCTCTATTCGAAGGAATTAGGGTTTTGAAAGCTGCCTCCTCTTCTGCTCGGCATCGATTTCCAAAATGGTACTCCGTCTCTCTCACTCTTTCATATTGAATGCTGGACACATGTTGTGGTAGTTTGTGTTAATGTGATATGAAAATCTCTGGATTTGACTATATTTGATGAAGATTTTACGGATGCCATTTTTTAATGGGTTGTTTTTTACGGACCTGTTTAATTTCTGGGTTTTAGATAACAAGAGATGGGATTTTTGTAGCCTTTTCTTTTCATGTAATTGAATTGTTCTTTATGAGTCTCATGGTACCAATAGTGCGCTTTTATACTTGAGGAGACTAATTTGTAAAAATGTGGTACTAAGGATCTGTTAAGAGCTGGAAACTTGTTCAGGTTTTTGGGTAAAATTTCAAAACAATGTAGATCTCAGTTTCTATCCCTACCATAGTACAGCTTGTAGTTTTAAAATGAACCTAACAAATGGGGTATTAAATCAAGATAAGAAATGACATGGGTTTCGGATTTGGTGCAAGACTAAGACCAATCAGTATAGCATAAATTAGGAAGGTAAAATACAAAGAATGCCAAGCTTTTGTTTTCTCTCAAAGGTGAATATACATTCACAACCTGCATCTATTTTGTTTTGTTTCGGTAGACATGGGAAGATGTGTAGTTTCATATTTCATTTGCTTCTGATTCCTATTGATTAATAAGCTACAAATCAAAAATGGAATTTCTGAAAGCCCCTAGATTGGTACCTTAAATGCCACTCTCCCACTCGGTCACATGACTCACATAATGGGTATCTATATTCTTCAAAGTTGTGGTTTCTAACTCAATTTATTAAGTTGGGTTCTCCTACAAACTTGTCTCGTTTCACCTTTTCTCCCTATTTGAAACAAACCTGTTATCAATGTAAATGAGCAATTGAAAGCTAAAAAATTGTTTGCAATCAGGAAAGTGCTACCATGTATTATTTGCTATTTGTGCCTGTTTTGGTTTCACACATGTTTGTTCTGGTTTCTGCTCAATTCTGATCTATTGTTCTGAAGTAATAGAAACTCATAATCGAGGATTACCTTTTTGCGTCTGTTTTAATAACTTGCTCGTTTTTTATGATCCTCAGCCTAAGCAGATTCACGAGATTAAGGACTTCCTTCTCACTGCCAGAAGGAAGGATGCACGTTCTGTAAAGATCAAGAGGAGCAAGGATGTTGTGAAGTTCAAGGTTCGGTGCTCTAAGTACCTTTACACTCTTTGCGTCTCTGATCCTGAGAAGGCTGACAAATTGAAGCAATCCCTTCCTCCAGGTCTGTTGTTTCATAAACCAAACCTCATTTCCATCCTTGATTCAACCGATTATATACTAGTAATAATGTACATAAAATCATTGCTCGATAGATGTTCTTGTATTCTTTCAATAGCATGTTGAGATTATACGGAAGTTTGATTTGTACATATACTAGTTTCTTCTGTATTTTCCAATCTAATTGATTGTTACTGATGCACGTAATATTTGATTTATTTTTCAGGTTTGAGCGTGCAAGACCTGTGAGCTACTGAGTTGAAATGTGCCGTCTGAAGAGCATTATTGGAGAAATATTTTTGATATTTTGAAAGACTTGTTATTAACGTGTTGTGTGTTTTAAGATTTCTTGATTCGAATGGGAACTTGGCAATTTTGATTGAGAGATTGCAATTGATATATACAGGCTTTTGATATGGGGAGAGGGCTGCCGCTCTCTCATGCATATCTTGTGAAGAATGCTATTATTTATTGCCGGGGAGCTTAGTTTACTATGGTACATTATCATTTGAATTGATTCAACATTGTAGAGCAAATGCATATCCTCACCTCATAATGTCACAGTTTAAAAAGAATCGCCTGCCAACATTTAACTTCCAAAGGGTAAAATTTGCGGTATTGATGAGATATTAATGTGCTCAAGCTTCTAAGCAAATGGAGGCTTGGGCAGAAAGTAATGCCTTTTCACTATAGCAAGGGGTTCGATCCATATCACAAAACATACATAATGAGAAATTGACTATTTTCCCCATAGAAGTACAAGTATCAAGATTTAATTTAGGAGCATTATCATATTCATGAATATGAAGGATATGTACAATGCTGATTGGGGGACATCTCTTACCAAAATTGCTGATAAACATACCGTTGGAAAAGCCATGAACCTTCAATGCTGCAACTCAGTTCAGGCGTGATTCTTCTCTGGCAGGAAAATCTCACTAAATCAAGATCATTATGCCCCAGTTTGGCCCCCCTTTAAAACTCTTTAATTTAATTTAATTTTTTCTCTTCTACTTTCAATCACACAATCTTAATATTACACTCAAATTGAAAACTTTTAAACCAAAATCTTAAAAAAAAAAAAAAAAAAAAAAAAAAAAAACAAAAAAAAAAAAAAAAAAAAAAAAAAAAAAAAAAAAAAAAAAAGGGATTTAATGACATCTCAATTTCTTCAAGAGATCGCCCTTTTGTTTCAACTATAAAATAGTACGAAAATGCTGCAGCTAACAAGGAAACGCCACCAAAGCTTGCATAAACTGGAGCAATGCCGAATTTTTCCACGAGTTCAAGGAAGAATAGGCCAACCAAGAAGTTACAGACCTGAAGTTACCATAAAGAAGAAATATTGACGTACAAATAGATTTTACAAGAAGAATTAGAATGCACATGCTGCTGATAATCAGTGAGAGAGAAACATGAATTCATCAAGTCCCATTAATTTAGTGTAGATATATGTAGACATTTTAATACTTACCCAGTGAACAGAGAAACTGAAGCCCAAGATCTTCCCTCGTGTCCTGTTGCTGCTAAGCTCTGGTATAACAAGACCAGTTACTGGCCCAGCTCCAATAGCAAAGGTCAATATATACCTATGGAGAGAGCTCAAAGTGAAAAACAAAGTCCCAAAACAAACAAGCAAACAGGCAGAGATGGCAAAATTTTTTGGACACTTTAGGTTACAGAAGTTGCAAGGATTTCTTGAGAAACAATGAAACCAATTTGAGGAAGAGATGTAGAAGCATGAAATACACTAAAACATGCTTTTAAACTAAGAATAAACAAAAAATTCGAAATATAGAACTATATATGTAGATGATTAAGAATATAGCTCTACCAACTGAAATGCATTGAAATTAGAAGACGAATGGATTGCTGCATTATAAGATAATATTAACTCTAAAAAACATGCATGATAGAGAAAGGGAAACTAGCAGAAAAAATCCTCAACCTTCAAAAAGAAGCATTCACGTCCCCAACCTTCCATCTTGGTAGCACTTTGATCCTTATTGGATGACTTTACCTTTGTCTCTAATTAACAAGTCAAAATTTTATTGGAAAGACAGATTTACCCTTATATTTAAATAAACAAACATACAAAAATGGAAAAGAATTGTCTTCATCATTTTCGCAACATAACCCCACCAACTTTACCCCACACAATCTTTCCTGTTGGCCCACCACCACCACCAGCTACCCAAACCCCACCTCTACCAATCACTAACCAACCACCACTGGAAAGCCACCCCTTATAATTAGAATCCACACCTCAAACTCCATGTCTCCAAGTTTGTTTCAACTGTAATAGATGGGTCCTAATACTGCATTAGTACATACACCATCCAGCTCAGATATAGTATTTACAATGTATTCGAGAAAGCAAAAAGAAAGAAAATATAAAAAAAAAATAAGAGACGTCCACTAGAATCAATTGATTCTGGTGCTGTACATTGTTTAGAAATAAAATGCATTTTTCATTCCATGTTACATGAACACCTGCATTAGGATTGGTGCTCTAGGAGACTATTAAATAGGAAATCGAAAAATCTCCACCTTCAAATATATATTTCTTTTCACCTAAACATTTCCATTTGCAGGTTTTGGTATTATTTGGGATGGAGAAATTGTTTTTTCAAGAATGGGGATGGTGGTGATTGGCGAAGGTGGAAGTGGTGTGGATGTGGAGGGCATTGGTTGGCTAGTAGAAGAGTTTCCCATGAGTAGAGATTTTTTGTGCAGGGTAGGGTAGGGTAGGGGGTGGATTGGGTTGGAGAAAATGTTGGGTAGATGAAGAAGATGCATCTCTTATTTCCATTTTATAATTTCTTATTTTTATAATTTATTTTATTTATTTATTTTGTTCTCTTTAAGATAAAGATAAAATTGTTTTTCAGTAAAAAAATAACTCGAATTAAAGACAAGTGAAAAATCGTCCAATAGGAACCAAAGTGCAACACAAGCCAAAGATTGGGGACTACTGCAGTTATTTTCCCTTATTAAGAACAGTGCCTGGTTTCAGATGTCTTATTTTTTATTTGTTAAGGTAAGTACAGATCATTAATGACCACAGCAAGAAACTAATTTAATTTTAATTAACATGTGGAATGCAATGAAAATGAAGTTGGAAAGAGTGTAACGATTTTACATGTATTAAACTTGCTTATTTATAACATTTCGTGGGTCGAAAAGGCATACAAGATTGTTCCCAGAATAGATAAGTTGCTGCCGATCTCTTTGTCTATAGGAAAGCTGACAGCACTAACTATGATGAACATAGAAAAAGCCTGCAAAAAACAGATCGGTTGACATTAGTTCATATGTTCATTTGCTGAACTTCAAATAAAACAACATACTAAGCCATATTCTGCATAAAATTGTTCTTCGCCATTATGTTTCTGTCGTTGCTAGATCTACTAGAATATCTAAAGCAACTAGATCCTTAGCAACCACCACAAGCCAAGTTAATCTTGGTCTAACCCTCAGTCTTCCAACTTTCTCTACCGAAATAGCATCACTCTTATGAACGAGGCGCCTGTTTAGGACGATGCAAAAATGTACTGAAGTACAAAAATATAGTTTCAAAATAAATTATTTGCAAGAGAATATACACCACCAAGTGGAGATGAGACACCAATTGAGGCTAATTTCTTCTGTAGGTCTAAAGGAGCTCTCGTTGACAAGAGAAATGGGATCTCACTATAACAGGTTAGAAGGCAGAGATGTAGATCAATATTTAAATGGCCCGATGTGGTTTGAAAGAATTTGACTGCATTACATCTTTCAGGGTATGTACGATTGATCGAACAAAGTTACAAAAAAGATCTCTCTTCGTCTGTTGTTCTATACGTGAAAGAATAAAAGTGTATCAGATTGGCCTCCTGAAGCATGCACAAGATTCTAATTTTGTCCTCGACCAAATACTACTTTCACAACCCAGAGCCATATATCTTAATAATATCAAAGCATTGCCTTTATGTGTTGCATAACCATCTTTTCCTTCTCATATATAATTGTGCGTGCAAGACAGAGGGAGAGAAAAAACATACCATTCCCAAGTAACTTCCAACCAGAAGTGTCTTCCTCCCTTGCTTATCCATCAAATATGAAGCGCAAATTGCTCCTGGAAATTAACTCACATAAAAATATAAGGCCTGCATGGTTGTATAACAATTTGGATGCTAGTCTGTTTAGATAAATTCAAGACCTGCGAAGTTGGTAAGTCCAACAAATAAGCTAGCTAAAGCACTGCTTGTGATTCCAACATCTTTGAAAGTCAAGGAAGAAAAATAGAGAACTCCGTTTATTCCAGCAAACTGTTGAAGTACAAATAGAGCACCCCCGATAAATGCAACTGCAACCACAACGTAAAATATGACAATGTTTGAGATATAAGTGAGATGCTAACATACAAGGGACCAACTGATGTCGCAACTACATGTTATCTTGATGCCACAAGTTTGTCGGTAACTAATCTAAAACACTTCATAACACGTTAAATTTAAATCTTCCCAAGGAAACTAAGTCCATGTCAAAGAACTGGAGACAAGAAATATAGAATGAGACCAACTGAACCAAGGTTTTTTTGTAGCCAGGATGCTCAAGTTCTGTTGTGTATGTGACTCATATAGAATGAAACACAGGTTTCTAAGATCAAATAGGTCGATGACGGAGTGGAGTGAGGGATGCTGAATAGGTTAGAAGTGCAAGGGCAATGCTCTCGTGACACGGTATAGGAGTATTTTCTTGTACGAACCTTAAAGTTTTTATGGGCCTAGACTAAGGTTAGTATAAATAATAATGTTGTAACCCTATTTTTCATACTGAATAAAATTTTATTCGCTTCGCTCTCTTGGACATAGGCACACCACCGAACTACGTAAATATTTGTATTGATTTCTCTCTTTCATCTCTTTATTATTGCGCATAAAATCCAACAAATCCACTAGACTCACAAGTAGTTTACTCATTCCAGAAGTCCACATACTACACCAGAGCCATAACGGATAATAATTAGAACGTCTTAGAAAGTGCAGAACGTGTCTAAAAATCCAGAAAATGTCACGCCTGACGACAAAAATCTTCATAGGATAATATCATCTCATGGTCCCAAATTGAGCAACTCTTGGGGAAATGACCTTCCAAATAAAGTTGTTTTCTAGAGCTCAACCATTTCCAAGAATACCTCTGCCTATTTAGGAATATGTACATCTACTGTAACTTTCCACTCCTTCCCAAACTCTTAATCCGTTGAACTGTCATTCCACCATACAAAAAATCTATTCTACCTCTCTATACACTTCTCAGCTACTGCTTCCCCAAAGATTCTTGGCCTTCTAAACTAGCAACATTTGTAAATAAATGGAAGAGAAAAACTAAACCAATAGAAATGTTAACAAAAAATTTATGATAACACTGATTTCATCTTCTCTTTTTCAGGTTCTAGTTATACTAGTATGGAAGATTTTAATACACAATTAACTTAGCCTTTTTAAGT